CCTCGATGATAGCAACCACGCAACCACGTAACAGTTCTCCAGCGTAAGCCCCAACCTGCAGAACTGCAGGGCCTCCACCCCTCACCTGCACCCCCGAGAGGACCCCACGGGTGCTCTCCAGCATGTGGCACCTTCTCCCCTCCCTGCTGAGGTGCTGAAAGCATCAGAGAAGCCTGTGACACTGGGGTCAAGTCCTGAGCAAGACCCCTGTCAGACACACATGCCTAACCTTCTCCAGGTCTCCACCTCTGTGATCTGCCCCGGGGGGCCCAGAACTGAGGTTTACCCTTTTACCGCCACTACCCACATGCCATTTCTGCAGGATTGTGTGGCCCCTTAAGGCCTGGTCTCCACAGAAGTAACCAAAGCCTTGCCCCCTTGCCGACTATTGTCCCCTCCTCCACCATCTCTGAATACACTGAACAAATCTTAGGAGCATCATGCTAGCCGTGATCACTCACTGTGTACGTTCATGTCTATTACAACAACAGTCCAACAGATGGCAGTCTAGAGCCTCAAGGAAGGGGCAGTTTTTTTAACTGACAAGAAGGTGCCACAAGGACCAGCAGCAGTGTCCCTGCTGTGGAGGGGCCTTGAGAGTGTATTATCCCTCCCACGGTACCTGGGAGGCAAATTCAGCTGTGTGGACCCTGTTCTCTCGACCCTGGCATCATCCCCCACACAAAAGACCCAGAGGCAAGCACACAAAGGCACCCAGCAGGTAGTCCCATCCAGGCTAAAGGGGAGAAGTGCCCTGCTGGGCAGCAGGTGCCTCCAGTCACTGTCTTCCTTCTCATCCCTGACACCTTCCCTGGAGAGGAAGTTCTCTTTCATTCACTGCAGCATTATTCATAACAGCCAAGATATGAAAGCAACCTAGGTGTGTCCATTGATAGATGAATGGATAAAGAAGATACACACACGCACACACACACACACACACAATGGAATGTTACTTGGCCATAAAAAGGAATGAAATCCTGCCATTCGGGACAACATGGATGGACTTAGAAGGTGTTATTTGAAGTAAAGTAAGTCAGAGGAAGACAAATCCTGTGGGATGTCACACGTGCAGAATATTTAAAAATCAAAACAAATGAACAAGCAAAACAAAAAACAAACTCAGAGAAATGAAGAACAAACTGATAGTAGCCAGAGGGGCGGGAAGTAGAGGGGTGGGTGGAGAAGGGGAAGGGGAACATAGTCGACAACAGTGTGGACAACAGTGTGGTAACTACGCAGTGACAGACGGTATTGGATACAGTGTGGTGAGCACATCACAAGCCATATGAATGTCGAATCACTTGGTTGCACACCTGGAAAACTAATATAATATTATATAACAGCCATACTTTAATTGAAATTTTTTTTTAGTTTTTTAAAAAAGAAGTCCCCTCACTAGAATGCAAAAGGGATGAAGCCGCCTACTCTCCCTTGCTACCCCACCCAGGTGCTACGCTGCAGTTGTATGGGGGTCCAGGGTTGCTTTAATTCTCCCAGGTAGCAGAAGCTTCTCCTTTTCTGGCTCCATGACTCCATAAGGCATTGCGAACAAGGGATTCAGGGGGCCTGCACAGGCCTTCAAGAGTGACCTTCAAGACGCCCGTTGGGTAGTCCTGAATGTGCTCAGAGCGAAATGGGAGGCATGAGAAAGCTCAGGCTGCCTTTTCTTACAGAATGAGTCACACTGAGCAGAGGATGTAAAATATTAAACATCGCAGCTCAGAGCACTCTGGTAGCTTAAATGCCAGCCAGTGCCCCAGGAAGCAGGGACTGTACCGTATGGTGTGGCAGGAAGTCACATCCCCTAAGGCCTGGGCGACCTGGGAAATGGTGAGAACGTCACCACAAAGAGAACAAGTTATAAATCGCCAACTACATCAATTACTGGCTGCACAAATCAGTGGAAAAGGTGACGCCAGAGAAAAAATTGATTTAGCTGGTTCGTGGCTGACAAGGAAATTAACAAAGTTAATGACAAAATGAATGATCAATTGGCCACGAGTGGCAACTCAGCAAACATCAGCAGAGATTCTTGCGATGATAAAACCTTCCAGACCCTCTTCCTCCTTTCTTCCCAGGACTGGGAGTGGATGGAGGTGCACACGTGAACACATGTGTGAATGCACAAGGAAGCAAGTTCAACGAAAGGGAGGATTCTGTGAGATTTTCTGTCTCTTTGTGCCTCGTCTGTCTTTGCCAGGGAGCCATGGAAAGATGCTATGCTCTGCATTTCTTAGTCTGTCTCTGAAATCAAGCCAGTCTCAGCTATTCCATTGCTTTTCAACCATTGCTTTCTGGAAAGATGAATAGCTGTAACAATGATAGAAGAAGAGAAGTACAATCATAGTCATAAGGATAAAATAACATCCTCTGACTTTGCGTTCTTTAAAATCTCTCCTATACATTGTCCCATCTGCAGCTATAGACACCAGATGCTGTGGAGAAAACAAGTGATGGCAAATCGCTTGGTAAATAATTAAATACCAGTCATCCATCCTGGTACAGTCCTAAAGGAAAATAGCCTTTGGCAAATTGAAGGGCTTCCACCATAAATAAACCACCAGAAAATCTGTTAACATCAGTCCTCCCTTGAAGTGGTTGTTCTGTCTTTTTAAAATGTTGCCTTGCAGACCTGAAAGCAAAGGTGTCCAAACCAGTGCACAAAGGGCTCTACCAGGCTCCTTGGGCGAGAGCCAGGAGAGCGACACTAACATGTCGTTGCACCGGCTCCTTCGCCAAGTCATTTTATGACATTGGTTTTTCTCCTTGACCTTTTAGCCGATATACAGTCACGCTACTCCTGGGGAGACCCCCCCCCCCGCCCCCGCCACCCAGCCAACCCCACCTGTACCATCTCACTTCTTTAGGAAACATTACCCAAGAGATTTCCCCCCATCCTTTTAAAAACTGTGATAATTACCATATAATCTAAAAGGGTAAAAACCACTTACATTTTGATGTACTTGTTTTTAAAAGGAATAAGCCAGGTACGCTTGCTAATTTCTGTTGCTTGCCTTCTGGCTCTGAGCTAATAGCGCCATCGTTTATAGGCACCAGTTTGCAGGTTAGTGCCTGGTGACTTCCTCTCTTTAAACAAGCAGTAGTTCGCCTTTTTGTCACTTTGCTTTTATGCTTGTTTGATATTGCGAATAAACAATGGATGGTTATGTAATTAGGGACAAATTCCCTCTCCCCAGGAATGACACACCCTTAGATAGGAAATGGGCTGAGCCCTGAGTCTTGGAAGCAAGAAGGGGATTTTCTCGATTGTTGATTGCGGTAATTACGGGTCTGGTTAGAGGGGCGATTCGCCAGGACGTCCTGCGGCTGCTGCCAGTAATCCTCTTTGGGTGCAGCCATCATGGCCCTAAGGGGGGACCGTGGAGCACCCAAAGTGAGCCAAGGGACAGAGGTTTCCTTTTCTGAGTGACTCAGGATGCAGAGGCAAGAGGGCAGAACAGCGATTGTGAGTTTACCAGTGGCTGTAAATCATCAAAACCTTTTTACCTGGGTGGCCAGAGAGTGGATCAGAGTATGGGATTGTTGTGGACAAAACAGGGGCCGCACAGTAAACCTGGCAAGCTCAGGGGAGGCATGTGGGGCGGCCTTACAAACTCAGAGACCGAAGTAAGCACATGGGATGGTCTGAAACAAAAACTTCCTAACTGAAAGTGAATCGCGGCAGGTAGTCCGGTCGTAGGCCAGTGTCTTCCTTGACAGAGGTCCGTCTTTACCTTAAGTGAACCTGTCTGCTGCCGTTTTACATCTAGGACAAGCTGCCTGTAGAAGGTCAGAGTCCTCCCCTTTATCCAGACCCCTCCGGGCCCAACCTCTCACCAAAGCGCCAGACCACAGAGCCCTCAGTGTCATCTCGTTCTCCACACACCGTTTCTGAGTGCTGTGGAGGTTCACCGTTAATTATCCGACACCAACCAAAGCGAAGGAAATATGTGCCTCCCCATTTTCCACTTTATCCAGTCCCAGAGCCTCCCCCACTTTGCTCTCTCCGGCCTCCGTCACCTACCGCCAGGGGATTCCATGTAACACTCCTCACGCCCCCGCCTTGGACTGTGAGGTATAAAATAAACCGCAGAGCTGACGTTCTCCAGAACGCTTTCTCAATCCGCTCAGGTACTGCTTTCCAGCAACCAGGGTGGCTCAAATAAACCCATAAAAATTCCTTGTAGATCTGGATGTTTCTAACGTCGACAAGGTCACCAGATCCCTGTGGGGACACCTGCCCGGGTCACCGCAGGTGATCTGACCTGGACAGAACGAGGGCATAGGGGCGGGATGGCCCGTTTGCGGGGATCATTTTAACCCACGGCAGGAAGCTGAGAAAGCATGTGGGATATTGTTAGTGGGTTTAGAAGTCTTACAAATATTGTGAGTTATAAGAAAATGATTTTGAATGGTTTTTAATTGACTATTAACAAGAACTCAATACTTAAATGCACTGAATGTCACTGGTTTTTTTGAGAACGGAATGTGTTTGTGAGATGCCGTCTTAACCGTGGGTGCTGGTTGGCTGCTGGGAGTGTCAGTCCGGAGGAGGGTTCAAGGTGGGAAGCACTGGCATGGGGGATACAAGAGATGATTGGCTGCCCTGAGAGGCCCGGGCACAACGCAAGTCACGACGCAGAAATGCTCTGATTAACGCCCCAGAACATCAAAAGCAGATCCGTGTCTCCAGACAGAGCCTTAAATCCCATTTCCAGCAGACTGCGTGCAGTCACGGCCAACTGCCCTTCCATCGATTTGCGCAGTAAATGTCTATTGACTGCCCTTTGCATCCCAGCTATCGGCTCGGTGCTGGAGGCAGAGCACGCACCGAGATCCATCCGCACGCAACATACTCGCAGCAGAAGAGAACAAGTAATTGGCAAACGTCTTAAAATGCCTTAATATATAATCTAGTGTCAGATGGTGATGGGTGCTATGAAGAGAAATAAAGCTGGGAATGGGGTGGAGGTGGGGGCGGGGAATGTCTTCTTAGCATGGCCAGGGGGAGGCCGCCGGGGGAGGCCGTCGTGAGCAAGGCTCTGCAGGGGGAAGAGAACTCTGAGCAGGACCGGCCCGAAGGCCCGCATGGTAGGTCATGGCACTGTAGGAAACCACTGAGGCTGCAGTGCAGTGAGCGGACTGCAGGGTCATAGAAGGCCGAGTAGGGGAGATAACCAGAAGCCGGGTCAGGGAGGCCCTGGGCCGGCCGTGGTAAGACGTTTGGATGTCATTTGTAGTGACATGGAAGCCGTTGGAACGTTTTGAGCAGGGAAGCAACTTCATCTGGTCTGCTTTGTTTGGGACTCTCTGTGCTTCCCTGGACGTGTGTGTCTTTACCCTTCACCAAGTTAGGGAAGTTTTCAGTCATTATTTCCTCAAATAGGTTCTCAGTTCCTTGCTCGCTCTCTTCTTTTTCTGGTACCCCTGATGCAGATGTTGTTAAGCATGACGTTGTCCCAGAGGTCCCTTAAACTATCCTTGTTTTTTTAAAGTTTTTTTTTCTTTTTGCTGCTTTGATTTAGTGGTTTCTGCTACCTTGTCTTCCAAATCTTTGAATCAGTCCTGTGCTTCATCTAATCTCCCGTGGATTCCTTCTAGCATATACTTCATATTCGTTATTGTCTTCTTTATTTCTGACTGATTCTTTTTTTTTTTTTGGCGTACTACCTCTGTGTTGACGTTCTCGCTGAGTTCATCCATTCTTCCCCTAAGTTCCTTATGCATCCTTGTAGATGGTGTTTTGAACTCTGTACCTGGTAGACTGCTTGCTTCCATTTCATGTGGTTCTGTTTCTGGAGATTTCCCCTATTCTTTCATTCGGGACTTGTTTCTGTGTCTCCCCCGTTTGGCTTCCACTCTGTGTTTGTTTCTAGGTATTAGCGAGACCTGCTCTGTCTCCCGGTCTTGGCAGAGTGGCTTTATGTAGTAGGTGTCCTTTGGGGCCCAGTGGCCCAGTCTCCCTGACCCACTGAGCAGGTGCTCTGGGAGTGTCCCTAGTGTGCCCCCCTGTTGCAGTTGAGCCTTGATTGCTGTTGGCACATGGGTGGGTGGGATTGACTCTCAGGCTGGCTGCTGCTACGAGGGGGCTGACCACACGGAGCAAGATTTGCCACAACAGAGTCTGGTTCCTGCCAAGACCTCCCTTTGGGTGTGTCATGTGTGTTCTGAATCCTGCCCTTAGGTGTGTTGGTTCTGGGGACTCTTGGGGTGGACTCTGGTGCAGGTCAATGTCAGACACTGCCTGTGAAGGGCCCTGGTCTACCTGTTACCAGCTACAAAGTGACTTCCGGTTTGTAGCTGCCTGTGCTGGGCCTGCATGCGTGTGGGAGGGGCCATGCTGTGAACAGAGGCCAGCTGTCTGCAGTACCAGGCTCTATCAGCAAAAGACCCAAGGCGCCCAGAGAGACACTGCCACCTGCTGGCTGCTTGTAAGACCTGGATGCTAAAAGAGCCTCAGGCAGTGCATTGGGTGAGGCAGGATATTAGGGAGTCACCAGGGCAGGGCAAGTGGTGTTCACCAGCCTGATACAGATTCAGATCTGGTGCCAGCACTGGGTCTGAAGACACTCAGCAAAAGTCTCGGGATATAGCGAGGCCAACTGCCACCTGCCTGGGCCTGCAGAATTCTGCAGTGGGCCCAGGTCTGAGGGCGGAGTCATTGGAGTTCACAGGTAATGCAGATTTGGATTGGGTCAGGTGGGCAAAAGGCTCAGTACAAGACACTGGTGGCCGTCCCTCCAGCCCTCACCCTGAAGCCACACAACTCAGTTTCTCCTTATATGTCTCTGGCACCCGCCCCCAAAACACTCCCCCACAAGCCACTGTTCCTCCTCCGAAGTTCAAGATCAGTGCCTGCGACCGAGAGTTTGTGTGCTCCTCCTTTAAGAGGACTCCTGGGCGTCCAGCAGCCTTCTGTCTCACCATGAGAGGTGGAATCCCTGCTGATTTTCACAGCCACATGTTATGCAGCTTCCTCTTGCTGTCAGTGGCGCTCTGGGCTGGGGAGCCTGGCGTGGGGCTGAGACCCCCTCCTCCTCAGAGGGGACCTCGGCAGCTGAGCTATCCTTCCAGATTCTTCCCACCCACATGCGGGTGCAGGGTCAGCCCGTTTTGTCTCCTCCCCCCTGCCAGTCTCAATGTGGCTTTTCTTTATAGTCCTAGTTATAGGACTTCTGTTCAGCTAGTCTTCAGATGGTTATCCAGGTTAATTGTTCTATAATTTAGTGGTAAGTGCACTGTCTCCCTACTCCATCATCTTTACCAGATCCCTTGCAATAAATTTTTATGTTTAATTTTTGTATACAGTCTTCAATCTGTCCCTTAAAAAAAAATCTGCAACAGCAGGAAAAGGACTAAATTGGACCGCGGTGGGCCTGAGTAATTCAAGTTTCAATAGCGACACCTGCTGGCAGTAAGTAGCACCAGCCGAATTCCTGACAGAGCCCAGTTTCCCTTTTTCTCTCCCTCAGGTGCCAGTGTCCAGAATGAACTTTTGTATTGAATGCGCATCCCAAAAGGTCTAGGAGTCATCTGAGTAGGGAGGGCCCCAGAGAAGGGAAAAATTTATTTTACTGGTGGGTGGGATGGGGACCCAGAGTCATAATTTAATTTTGGTAAGAAGGATAAACTATTCATTCTCTGAAGTAAAAAGCTCTTTGGATAAGTAGAGGGGGTTGGGTTCTCCCTGGAATTTTCTGAGCAGCGGCTTGGACTGTTACAAACAATTCTTTTGCTGTATAATCTGAGAGGAAGGTTGGAATGGACGCTGGCCCACAGAGGGTCTCACCATATCACTTTGAACTGCAGAACAAAGGCAGCGGCAGGTGGGTTCACTTCCAATGAATTTTGGTTGGCCCTTCATGTAGACCCACTCCCAAGACCCCTAAAGAAGCGCCATGGTCAATGTTAAAGACAGATTACAATTTCATCTGTTCTGCCCAGAGCTTGATGCTACTGGAGATCCTTAGGATCCGACAGTCTCCAGAGGCAGCTCGTGCAATCCCACCAGTGTCTTCATTTTAAATAAAGAATATGCTGTGCAAGTCAGTGGAAACATCCAAAATGGTAAAGGGAGAAGCTCACACCACTGAAACAATGTTTCTACCCTGAAGTGGTTATCGTAACAATAGCATAAAAGGTCAGCATCATATGGGAATGTCACCTGGATTAGAAGGCGGATAAACTTTATGAGCTGGGCTTGCACATCGCCTTCCCAGTTGGAGTCTGAGGCAAAGGAAACACCAAGCACAGTGCTGACAACCCTCTAGATTCGCAGTAGTTTGGTCTTCAAGATCTTTGTGGAAATAGAATTCGCCTCCTATTCCAGTCTGGTGTGTATTTTTGTATTAGCTTCATTCTGGGCTCTGTTCAATGTGTGGGGAAAGATTTAGGCTTCACTGGACACTGGGCATTGTCTGTATTCTAGCAGACACCCCTCTGGGGTCATCTGATTCCAACTGTGTCTCGGTGAAGTGTACATAATAATAATTATGGTGTGTAGACCTGCAAATTCTGTCCTGTTGAGTAGATGTTTAATTGACTTCCTTCTCCTACAGTGAAAGGGACCAGTTTTGCCTCTATTTTTAAATTCATATCAATATTCCTGAGCTATAAATATGTCTATTTTTCAACTTCTACCTAAACTGTTTATCAATTTCCTCATTAACAAAAATCTTTGACATATTTTCACTTTGCTATCTGCATTTATGGCATGAGTCTACCCTATTTGAAAATTATCATTTTTGAAATTATCAAATTATTTTTAAAATAATCTTTTTGAAAATAATTATATATAATATAAATATATAATATATAAAATAAATATATAAATGTATATAATATATATTTATATATATATTTAGTTGTTACCTACTATTTCTATTACTTTACTATATTTTGCCTAACTTTTAAGTTGCCTTAAATTCTTTCTGAAATAAGCTGGGTGGGGCATGAATGAACAAACAGTATTTAATAACCAAAATGTTTAGGTGATATCTAAAGTTCTTTCTTTGGTATTTTATGCAGCTGGAAACAGGAAGGTCAGAAGTACAACTTCTCTCACATAACTTCTTTTATTGATATAAAACATACATAGCATAAAATTCACCAGTTTAATCTCTTTTAAGACATATGCTTTCTTACAAGCAGAATATAAGATTTCCCTGAGAAAATACAATAATCTCAGAAAACAGCAATGTCTTAGCCACGTGCCAGGTGCAGAATTTAACCCACCCCGGGCCCTCACTTGCCACCAGGGACCTCCGCCAGCTGGCCCAGTTACATGGTCTGGAACAAAGTGTGTTCACAACATGTTGCCCTGGCGTGGAGGGCCTGGGCTATACCACTTCCTACTGTCACTGTTAGAAACCCCCAATCCTTGATGTAAGTAAATTTTTGAAAAGAAAATCCAGTAATGAAATTCCTTGTAATTACCATGCCACCTACATCTACAGTTAATCAGGGAAGAAAAACAATCAGAGGAATCAATACAGGGATTTGTGAGGCCGGCTGACTCGGGCAGCATTTGCTTGAGGAAGCCGAACACGTGGGGAGAGGAGGACTAGTCTGAAATTGGTGAGGTTCCTAATCATCTGGATAGCACAAGACACTAGAGTGAGTGGTTTTATAAAAGAGCTTAGAGAGGTGGCTCCTTTTTTTTTTTTCATTCAAGAACAATGAACTGAAAGCTGCTTTTTCATTCATTTAATACTTAAATGACTCACTGGGGGTAAAGGCAAGCTACCCTCCGCTGGGGGGACCGCCGGGAGCTTGGCCACCCTGGGCCCTGACCATCCCTGGAGGGCAGGCAGAGGGCATCAGCTTGTCGGCACGCCTCTGGCCCGAGTCAGGAAGCTCTCTGCCTCGGCAGGCAGTGCCATCTGCAGCCCCTCCACAGGGAGCCCTGGGACTGCAGGGCCCGAGCCCTCACCGAAATCACATCGTTAGACCCTCTGGTGTGGCCCAAGGCCCCCAGGTAAGCAAAGACACTCTTATCAGGTAGGACATTTCAGGGGTCTAGAGCAGGGGTGTCAAACTCATTTTCACCAGGGACCACAACAGCCTCATGGTTGCCTTCAAAGGGCCGAATG